CCATCACATTTGATGAACTGAAAGATGGCTTGAAAAGAGTGGGGTCTGAAATGATGGAATCTGAAATTCAGGCACTTATGGATGCGGTATGCAAAAATCATGATTGACTAATTTTGATGCCATCTACTGGTTTTTCTTCATTGTTAAATGTGGATTTTTAACTTAGGTTACTTTAACTGCTCCAGGCTGATATCGATAAAAGTGGCACGATAGACTATGGTGAATTTCTTGCAGCGACAGTACACATCAATAAGTTGGAGAGAGAAGAGAATCTGATATCAGCGTTCTCGTATTTTGATAAAGATGGAAGTGGTTACATAACTATTGATGAACTATCACAAGCTTGTAGAGAATTTGGCCTTGATGATGTTCACCTTGATGAGATGATAAAAGAAATTGATCAAGACAATGTGAGTCTTTTTCCCTCTCTATTATTTCTGAATTTTTTTCATCTTTCGTTAGATTCAGATTTTTGGTATATTCAATTCCTGTGATGGCTTTTCCAATGTACCAGGACGAGATGTTTCTTGGTTTCTTGCTTTGGTTTTCCATTGATTCTTCCTTTTGTTGGTATAAGCTGACCAATTTGGGGCTGTCCGATACTTGCAGGACGGGCAGATAGATTACAGTGAATTTGCGGCAATGATGAGAAAAGGCAATGGAGGAATTGGAAGAAGGACGATGCGAAACAGCTTCATTTTTAATCCGGCTGACGCCCGCAAGACAGAGGAACGCTAACACATGCGTAGGATAAAAGCCTTTCGAGGGACTTCAGTTTTCTGAGAAAATTTGTACAACTAGGTGGTATATCCTGAGAGCAACTGGTGAACGAGTCTGGTGCAGTGATGCCGTCATTTACTGATGATCTTCCTCGTGTAACTTTTGGAAGAGAATTATATCCATGTTATCGTTGATTTCGTAACTCCTTTGGAGGATCAATTATGAACATTTTGCTGATAAAATCTTTCAGGGAAGGATTGTTGTTTTTGCTTCATGGATCGTCTTTTGTCAAACAAGAACCTCAGGTGATCACAAACTTATTTTGAATGCATCTGAGTCTAGAGACATTCTTGATGTTTTTTTTCCTAAAATAATATGTTTTGATGGATATATTTGTACATCCTCTGCATAATCATTATTAGTATACATTGTTGATTATTAGACAGTAATTTTCCAAATTGTTGTAGTAATTTGACAATATATTGAAATAGTTCTTCTAAATATTTTGAATCAGTGATCATAAATCTCAAAAGTTTTAAGTGAACATGTTTATAGGTGTTAACATCCTCTCTCGATTTTAGAAGTCCAACTATACGACGCAAAAACTAGGAAAGATGGACAAATATAAAATTTAAATTCATGATCCACCTTATACCATCAATAATCCCAAACATTTAAATTGTTAGAAAAAAATCTAATATATTTATAGGTTTTAGCAAGTCGGTTTTGGCCGTCCAACCATAGGACACAAAACCTAAGAAAGATGAACAAATACAAAATTTAAATTCATGATCGACCATATACCAGCAATGATCCCAAAAATTTAAATTGTTGGAAAAGAATCCAATATTTTTATAGGTTTTAGCAATCCGATCATATCTTTCACTACATAATAAAAATTATAATATTATCTAATACATCTTATAATTTAGTATAATATGATCAGTCCTTTTATGATAATTATGCTTCTAAGATTTTGAAACACATCAAGCCATTGCCCCTCAAATCCTTTGTATATATGTTTCAACTATATGCTTCCAAACAAATTTAAATTGGCAAATCCTGAAAACATTACCCCTCAAAATTAAAGATACAACAATAGCTTCAGAAACTTATGGATAAAACCAACAAAGAATCAACTTCATCTTTCTTGCAATGTTTAAGATCACAACATCATACATATGTTTCAGCATTGTACCAACCTTTTCCCTTCCGAGGCAACAGATACTTCTCCTTCTTGAATCTTGTTCTTGTCACTCAGCTCTGATCCCGGAAGGAAGGATCTGAGCTTTTCCCTCAGCATTGGAGATAGCAGATCACAAGAAGTCAGTGGCTCCATCGAATGAACCACTCCTTTCCTCAGCAGCAGACGACACGACGCCGTCACACCCCGAGCAAGCAGCACTCTTCGGTCAACATCATAGTTGTCCACCAACAAGAACAAGAACTCCAGCAACATATGAGCAATATCAACATACTTGGGCACGGAATTCACCATCAGAAGCATCGCAGGTTCGATGTTCATGATGCTGTCAACCCTGTCGTCGAAGAACAGCCAGTCGTAGAACAATGCGAGCTTCACGTTCGCCTCGAAGTGGTTCCTCCTGCAACACTTCAGAAGCCAACCGATCACTGCCCACCGCGAGATGACATTGGACTGGATGATCTCGTTGGAAGGGTGGTGGGCACAGCAGATGAATCGAACTATGTCGCTTATCACGGTCTCGCTGCCAGGCCAACATAGATGCTTCTTGGCGAACCATGCTTGGTACCTTCTCTGGTTCCCCCACCTCACATAGGTGAGCAGAAACCTCAATTGGCTCTCCATTTCAGGAGGAATCCTCAGCAGGAAATAGTGTGTTGGTGTTCTTATCCGATAGAGGTCGGAAAGATCAGAAAATTCTGCAACTCCCAGTTTTTTAGGATCAGACAACAGATCCTTCCACAGATCCTTGAACTCAGAGATGTAGACCAAGTCCTGGAGAAGGCGAACGAGGTCTCTTCCGATCTGCAGACACAAATGGAAACACTGTCTCAGTACCTTGACACAAAAGTCGATCTCCATCCTCTTCAGCTCCTCCAACTTCACGCTGCCCGCTAATCTGTAATGATCTGACAGCAACCGGAGGTAGACGAACAACGCGCTCGTAAGAACCAATGGCTCCTCCAACAACCAATTCCAATTGTCGGACAGCATCTTGAGAAGCTCCGAGCTCAGCCACAAATTCGACTCGGTGAAATCGCCGCCATTGATCTGCCTCAAAAGAGATATCAGCAAAGATTCGATCTTTATGGCCGACACATTGACAAGCGCGGAGCAGACGTGGAGAAGCTGAGATTTTGGGGAATCGAGAAGCTTGGGGAAGGATTCATTGCAGAGCTTGACGAGGATGGAGGTGAAGAGCTCATAGCCGTCGACGACGATAGCGTGGAGGTGGGTGAGGTGGGTTTTAGTGAGGTGGGGTTCAGTCAGCACGCCGAAAGCGATTGCGCGATTCAATTGGGAGTATTCCGAGGGAGAAGGGATCGTCAGGGGAAATGGGGGTTTCAGTTGGTTCTGGATGAGGAGAAATGCTTCTCTGAGAGAGGCTTCCGTCGAGTTGTTCGCTTCGTGGGCGGCGATTCGAAGCAACTTTCCGGAGTTCATGTGGAATTCATAGCCTAAAATCGGGAAAAAAGAGCTGATGAATACGCGAATTTACGTTCAAAATACGATCTTTTGATCGAATTAGAGAAGGAGGAACGGCGTGGAGAAAGATTAGGGATTTCAAATAGGGTTTTAGGGGATCGAGAAGGAGGGTTTAAGGTTGTAGTTAGAGTTCGTATAGCCACGGTTGCAGAAAACAGAGAAGGCGAAGGATTTCCTCCTCGGCTTGCGCCTGGCGGAGAAATACGAGGCCTCAGAACCTCGACGGCGCCGGCCACGACGCAGCGACGGTCCCACCGGTGGGTTAAGAAGAAGCTGCCGCCACTCGCCTCGCCAACATCGAATTCACGCCGTTGGCGCGCGCGCCGTCGTCGCGTCGACCGTGCGCAAGGGCAGAGCGAGTCGTGAGAGAGCGAATCGCAGGAGGGAGGGAGGGAGGCAGGGACGCTTAGGGCACGTAGCAGGGCGCTCCATATCGTAACGATCTAAGTTACGACAAGATAAATCGTAAAGCAGCCCATCTCCGGAACCGTCGGACGTTACTTAAATCGTGGCTCAGTCAGCTGCTGCGAACAAATTCGTCCACAGCGTCCGTCGTTGCTTTTGTCGCGTCTTATATGCTGTGCAATTGTGCGTCGTAGTCCAACTTTAGTCACGGCGAATGAATTTTTCTATTCCTTCTTTTTCGGATTTGGATGGAATTAATTCACTTATATATTATTGTTTTCTTAATACTCAAAGTAGCTTCATGCTTAAATAATTAAAATTATTCTGCCATGGCATAATTGCATGATTACCACATCGGACTCAAAATCTATGATTAAATCGATTTGGACTGCGCCAAATGGTATGATATATCGACTTATCCCATTATAAGTTTTCGTTTATTATTTATTAGCAGACATAAACTAAATCAGATTTTGGCTTTACCGCGGCAGGTGGGTCCCGGAGGGTCCCACGAACTCCCCTCGAATGGCAGGACAGGTAGCTCCGAGGACGGGACCGCAGACGGGGCCGGATATGTATTACCATTCAGAAGTTTCGCGAGCGTACAAATGTCCGTTGTCTCTCTCGTCCCCATGCTACAACGGTCAGCGATGGCCGGGCCCCGCCAATATTTAAAGGTGGACCCACTGCACCGATGGCTCCGCTGGTAATTTTTATCATTTCCTCCCGACGTTCTTCCCGTTTAATTTACGCGACCCAACTTTATTTTGAACTCCTCCACATCGTCGTCACCAAAAAATAATAATAATATGAACGTGATAATTAACCTTTTTTTGGGGACATTAAGGACAAGTCCATAAACTCACTATAGCTGCAAATTAGTCCTTAAAATTTACTTGATTTAAAGAGACTTTGAAGCAAAGAAAACTTGTATAGTAAATATGAAGAATCAAGGGATTATTCTGCAAAAGTCGCAAACAGTTTAAATCTAGAGATGAGGGGGTCGAACGGGTGAGTCAAAACGTCGCCTTTCTCCGCCTCCTCTCTTCGATCACTCACCTCACAAGCAACGACCAACATCTAGCTTTTCTGGCCCGTTCCCATCCGGTGGTTCAAACCCTAGTCCGGTTGATCGACAGAAACGATGAGCACCCATGCCGTCCATCCCCCCAAAAGGAACAATCTGCCTTCTCGCCGCGGCCAGCCGGCGGTCAAGAAGTCGGTCCCGTCGGAGAACGGCGGCGTTGCCACTGATTCCTCCTTATCGGTCGCCGCTCCCAACGGGCGGCCGACCAAGCCGACTTCCCCTAAGCAAGCTTCGTGAGAATTTCCGATTCCTTTCCTCGCTTCAAAGTTTCGAAACTTTTTAGGCTCCATGTTGTGATTGCGATATTTGGAATTGGAATAGTGGGGAGAGGACGGTGAAGAAGCTGAGGCCATCGAAAGCTTTAATTATCCCGGAGGGCACGACTGTTTCCGATGCGTGCAGGAGGATGGCCGCGCGCAAGGTGGACGCTGTTCTGTTAACGGACGCGAATGGGCTTCTTTCTGGGATTGTTACAAATAAGGTTATTATCTAAAGGCGGATTTTTGATTATTTTCATTGGCTTTTGTTTTCTGAGTGCGATGGTAAAATGTTAGTGTTTGGCTTTCATTGTGTTTGGATTGCTAGGATATAGCGACGAGGGTTATCTCGGAGGGGTTAAAGCTGGAGCAGACGATTGTGTCGAAGATCATGACTAGGAACCCGGTGTTTATCATGGCAGATACTCCTGTGATGGAGGCGCTGCAGAAGATGGTCCAAGGTTAGCTTGTTCTCGAGTTTTATATCTATTTGCACCTACTTAGTCCCTTGTTCTGGTTGCTCATAGTGCTGGTTTCGTGAGTTGTTTTACTGATAATTTTCTTCTTCTTTTTCTATTGGCTTCTGAGCAAGTGAAAATGCAAAATTTCTTAACCGTTGTCTTATTTGCTCGGAATCTAATGCACTTTGAGCATTATTTATGAAATATGAATAGAAGGAACAACTGAGCATAAACAATATGAAGTAGGCGGGGTGAATTGAGCAACATATTGCCAACAAATATGCTACTAAATTTCTTCCTCATTAACATAAGTCACAGGTCTTTTTCCACAGTTAACAGTAAAATGCTTAGGTGTCCACTGTCCTTTTGAGTCTTGTTAGGTAAGATATGTTTGAGCCACAGGAAGGTACGTTTTCTTCGTGTGACCATCAATATGTCTAGTTCCTCTGAATCTATATCCTTTTTTGAAGACATACTTGGTGATTCTCCAATTCTTTTTCTTAAATATCACATTTGTCTTTTTATTACAAATTACTTACCCATTTTGGGTTTTTTTATTTAATTTTTACAGGAAAATTTAGGCACCTTCCTGTTGTAGAGAATGGTGAAGTTATTGCGATGTTGGATATCACAAAGTGCCTGTATGATGCCATATCAAGAATGGAAAAGGCTGCAGAGCAAGGCAGTGCAATTGCAGCTGCAGTTGAGGGGGTCGAACGCCAATGGGGAAGCAACTTGTCAGGTTGCATTACTTGTTGGATTTGTAATGTATTATTTCTCTATCGATTAGACCCCTTGTAAAATGTTGTTCTGTGCATCGTGCATGTGCATAGGTTTAACAACCCCACAATGCATGGCATTTAATACATGGGCAAGATTATTGGACAAAAAAAATAATGGATGAAAAAGCAAAGACTTAATAGTGTCCTCAAGACATCAATTTGGACTCATATTGCATTCCACTGTTAAACAGCAAAAGGCAAAGGAAAGGAAAAAAACACTGTTTGATTTACATAATTTTTGCTTATTTAAATGGTCCTATTTTCTTTCTACATTATATATGTGATATGCCTGTTCTTGTGTGCAGCCCCTAATGCTTTTGTTGAAACACTTCGAGAACGGATGTTTAAGCCAACTTTGTCAACTATAGTGATGGAGAATGCTAAGTATGCTGGATTTGTTATGGAAATTTAGCTTGCCTCAAGTATCTTCTATTTTTTTCCCCCAAGGATGCAGTTATTATACAAACTTTCTAACTATCTCAACCTGCAGAGTTGTGGTGGTATCTCCTTCAGATCCTGTCTATGTTGCTACGAAAAAGATGCGTGAGTTTCAGGTTAACTCGGTCATCATTGCGACAGGAAGCAAGATACATGGCATTTTAACGTATAATTTCCATTTGGGTTTGTTTACGATTTTTAATGCTTATTTAAATGATTTCTGTTTTTAGTTCCTTTTCTTTGAATTGTTATTACTTGATAGTAGTTATAACATCTGCTAAATGCAATATGTTGCAGATCAAAGGATGTGCTCTTGCGAGTAGTTGCCCAAAATCTTTTACCAGAATTGACTCCTGTGGAGAAGGTGTCTATCCTCTAACTCATTCTGAAAAACTTCTATGCTTGTAAAGTATGCTTATTATCAGGATCATAAAAGTATATAGATAACATTTTCTTTTAAATGACTGGTTATATCAGGCATTCATAAGCTATCTTGTCTCTTTTTCTTCTGAGCTCTTGTATATTGTTTTATTCTTCACATGCAGGATCTAACCATGGTTCATCATGGTCATATCTTTATCATGGCTTTACGCATTGTACAGCTGGTTCATGTATTTTCTTCTCTAGAGACAAAGTTATGAAATAGATTTACTGCATGGAGAAACATGGAGTTGCACTATCTTTTGCATTCAATACTCTGTGCTTGTGAAACAAACCTGATAAGCCTTTTGCAGGTTGCCAGACAGCCTTGATTAACAAACTCTATGACTTCATTTACAACAAGGATGTTTTCATTGGCCTTGTTGATCTTTCTTCCCTGTTAATGATGTGTTATCATGATAGTTTAAGGTGGTTGCTTTCACTTCAGCCCCATGCATCATAGAAATCTCTTCAATGATCCTGCCCTTTGCAAGTTGCCATATAGCCTTGTTTCCTTCTACATAGTTTGTTTATTGCTTCACCTTATAAAGTTGTACTGGTTTGGCAGGTGATATTGATAGGGTAATGTTCATCTTACAGTTGGAGTCCATGCAGCAATTTGTTCAAGGGGTTTTTCTAAAGTATTGGTCGGCTAGTTTTGTCTATGATGTATGGTGTAATTGAATTGTAATTCTTGGAATGAAGTACTAGGGTTTCCGGCACACACTACCACCACCATCATCAACAAAAAGCAGCAGTTACCAAGAGATGCTAGGGTTAGAAATTTTTTACCTCATGGCTTATACATAAGCAAAAACGTTGTTCCTACTGTAGTATCATTGGGATATTGCATAAGGATAAGACTATTGTGAGGTTTTGAGATATCTTGACTTAAAAACTAGAAAGATCTGACATGGTAAAGTTGGAGAAAAGAGATAGTTGCACAGTCTTTATTGGCTTAAAAAAGCATGATGAGGTTCTTATGTTGATTCCATCATTTGGCAATATTGGGAAAATGAGAGTGTATAGCTCAGAGTAAGTGCATCATAGCTTAAGGAGAGATATATGCAGAGTATTCTGTGGCCATGTGGAATTCTTAGATTGAAGGAACATTATTCAAGATTGTTAAGGCCAGTCAATTTATTATGGATTATACCACATAACTTAGTAAAAAAAGAAGTCTAGGGTAGCGAAGTATGCAAAGGTGGATGACTGATCTTATATAAGAAGTTATATAAGAGATGATTATATTCATGATATTTTTGAAGTAGTATTATTGTGGCTAAGATGAATAATTATCTAAAGTTGTTTTTATATATCCATAGAATATCATTAAATGCATTGCAAAGAAATTTGAAATAACTCAGATCAAAATTTTTATATAGCTGAAGATAACAGAAGTTTTGGTCAGAATCTGCAAACTTTTGGCAGAGGTAATGTGAACAAAGCATCAGTGTAGCCAAGCCGCCCATATACTACAGGCCAAAAATCCTATGTGTTGCAATCTTATGATAGTAATCATCAATGCTACTGAAGCAATTTCTGCTCATGAGGACTGACACATTTCTATATTTTATTTGTTCTTGTATGATATTTCAAGTTCTTACTGACTTCAGATGCTGCTGAACTTTGCATGGTTTTAGACATGCCTTTTTCATAAGTTTTTGTAATGAGTTGTGATCTGGATGTTCATTTTGAAGGTAATGACTGCAAATCCTAAATGTGTTACTCTGGACACAGCAATTCTTGAAGCATTGCACATCATGCACAATGGGAAATTCTTGCATCTTCCAGTGCTCGGCAGAGGTAATAAGCCATTTGTTGTCTTGGATGTTAAACCTTTTTGTTTCTGTTATCTGAAACATGTCAGAAACAGATGAACACATTGTTGCCTGTTTGGATGTTCTGCAACTAGCACATGCTGCAATTTCCATGGTGAGAATAATATGTTTTTTCTTTTAGCAATTTGTTTGTTTCCGTATGATTCTGTTGAAATATTTCAATACGTGTTCAGCAATATAAAACGGCTTTTGATTGATCTTTGTATTTTATTGCGCAAGCAATCACACTCAACCTTCATTTAGAAATGTCACTGGATATTTGTTTGGGTATTTTTTATCAAAGTGTATCTTGTGATTACTGATGTAGTTTTATCTATTCTATCAAACTCATGAGAGTTTCTTTGCATTATGCACACGCACTGGTTCAATGAATGAGTTTTCATGGTGTTGATTAAGAACTTCAGTGTGTTGTCTCAATTCATTTCTGTTTATGTCATTACTGTATGTTGCTGATTATATTATTCATGTTGACTGTCTATTTGAGATTTGCGAAATTTAACCATATAGCTTTTTGGAAGCATCCTACATCTTTAATTATGTTCTCATCAGCTCACTGGCAGGAAAAAGTGATTCTCAGTATAATATTTGTTACCTTTAACTTGAACCTCTATTGGTATGTTCTCACATTATCATAATATTTGAACATGATCCAGATACTTCTTTCAGTCTATTTCCCATTAATTTTTTTACTGGTTATATATATTAACAGAATATGATATAAGACATGTTCCTAAAATATGCAGAATTTATGTGCTGGATTTGACTTCATCTTCCCTTAATGAACTATTGTTTCTTGAAGGTTGAAGGAGATTCTGGAGCTGTAAATGACATGGCAAACACAATGATGCAGAAGTTGTGGTATTCTGCCTGTTCTTTCGAGCCGGCAGATGAGGAATATGATACACACAGGTGTTTTACAGTTTCTTTTCTAGTTATGTTTGTTAACTGCCCAACTTCATCTCTCTTAGCTTTAAGTATGTTATTTGCAGTGAATTGTCAGCACTGATGACATCCGAATATGCTGAAACTGTCAAGTATATGTATCCCCCTCATAGTGGAAACTCATTTGCTTTCAAAATTGAGGATGGAAAAGGACATATACATAGATTTAATTGTGGTTAGTATAACATAAGAATCATTCTTTATGTCAGCACTTATGTTGATTTGATATATGGTCTAGTGTGTAAAAGTCGGAAGCTTTTATGTGGCCTTCTTGTTGCAGGTACTGATAATTTAGATGAGCTTGTATCTGCTGTAATGCAAAGGATAGGGCTTGATGCTGACGCTAACAAACTAAGGCTTTTGGTGAGTTCATGTTTTTTGTATATGTGAGTACAGATCCATGGATGATGCATGCATGTATACATCACATGTATATATGTATTCTACGTATGTAATATATGTATGCATGTACCACTGGGTACGTGCATATGTGTTTGTGTGTGACATTTGTAATGTTGTGTGATTCCTAATTTCAAACTGAGTCTGTCATGCTTTGTGCAGTATGAAGATGACGAAGATGACAAGGTTCTATTAACTACAGATAGTGATCTTGTTGGAGCTGTATATCATGCCAGATTTGCGGGATGGAAGGTGAATTTTCTTTTAACTGCTTTAGTTCAAGTATTTGGTTGTCTACATTTTATATAAATCAGAGAAGGTTTTGATTTTTTTGAGTCAATTATGCCCATTGAGGTTTCAGCTGCAATATCCACCACATACAGAAATGTCTATTTGAACTTGGTTATAGAGTTCCTAGGTGATCCAGCTTAATTCTTCTATTTGACAATTAAAGTTGTTCCACATGGAAATGGACAGAGTTGGCACCTTGCAATGCAGATTGTTCTCATTCATTGACAAGAAAAATATTTGTGAGATTTAGACATAGGCTATAGGGATATTCTTTTGTCTGATATTTCTGAGTAGACCTATTTATCTGTTGATTGAAACAGCTATCATGCTGCAATATTACGACAAAACTGAACATGCATCTGTTAAGAGTCACAAGCCACAAATTAATATTGGCATAGTGTCATTTATAAATAGTGTGGGCAAGTCCTCTGAGCGGACATCTTTTAGAAGGGTCTGAGTATCAAATGCATATAGTTTGTATTGTTAGCTATTATGTTGGTTCCTTGTGTTGCAATCAGGAATGACATTGTTTGATATTGCTATGCATATGGGTTGTTGGTTGATATCTTATTGCGGTTTCTGTGTGAAGCAACAAGGAAATTTGCAAGTATTATTTGAAGACCAGAGTTAGCTAATACTACTATGTATTTGTACTTTGCTTGTGATCTGTTATTGACAATATTGGTCTGAGACAAAGAGATATGTTAGCTTTAAGTTTGACTAGTGATATTGCACTGACAGAGTTAAATGCCAGGAAAAAATCCATAATATTTGTGTTTCCAACCCTAAATAGTTGGGACCTTGTGACTTTTGTTGTCGTTGTCGCTAATGTCTCTTGTTATTAGGATTTTTCATTAGTTCAATCACACGTTTGTACTTTTGTTGAAGAGATTTCAATTTTTTGCATCTGTAGCTTCTTTTCTGGATTTGGAGTTTCATTTCTTTTCATATGAAGATTTCCTTTTTATGTCAGCAATACAATTGTTGTGAATTACAACTAAAACCATCTACTACAGCTATTATACTCTTGTGCTGAGCTTACTTTTCTTTTACTTGGATGTGTTTCTAATTTGATGCATCAATTGTGGACTTTACTTATCTGCCATGTGACGACAGTTTTTTTATGTATGCTTATATGTGAATGCAACTTTTGTGTTTTGTATTAAAATAATGTATATTAATTTCCTACCTTAAAAAATTAAACAATCAGATTATGGTTCAATTAACCACCATCGAACTATGATGACTTTAGAGGAAGGTGGTTGTCACTAGAAAGTCATTTACAAGAAAGTACATTTTTAGAGTTGAATCATACCTGTAACCTCCCAAGAGCATGTTTGTTATTAGTGTAACCTCCCAAGAGCATCTTCGTTATTTTTTTTGTATTGATGAATTTCATGATCGAGTTTATTGAAATGTGGCCTTCTTAATTGTCAGTATATTGTAGTTGGACATTTGGCTATTGATTCATAAGGTTCTAGAACATTTTATCATTAGAACAAAAGCTAAGTCTATAATGGACTAGTGCAGTTTCCAGATTTTTCCATTATTAGTGTAGTTTCCAGATCTTTAATGCATCATGCTCTAGAATACATCAAATAAGAATGAACTGGGCGTTGAAGAGTGATCTAGTTTCATTCATGCTCTCCATATGAATTCACAGACTTCTGGATTTGCAGTGATGCTGTTTTGCTCAAATATTTTGTGGATATAGTATCTTTATTATATGGACATACTTGCATTTATCTTAAAACCTTGGTTGCACTGTTAAAATATTACTTTGCTTTAGTAGTAGGGACGGATGACCCTTCGTACATGAGGCCATGATACCATAAAATTGTGCAATAAATTATTTAAATACAAGCAGGAAATATTCATCATTTTATCCCTGCCAAAAGGTGTGAAACTTTTGAGATTGGTCCAGATTGTACATTTTTGTTTTTGTGCACAAGTAGTGTGAGACTTGGCAGTATGGTTTCCTTCACTTGGACAGGATATTTTTGTTGAATCTCTCGTTAGCCCTCAACTTATTGTTTGCTTCTTTCAGGTTCTAAGGCTGCATATTGATGACTCAGAAACCAAAAAGGAAGATCCAAGATCATCAGATCTCACAGAAGTCTCTAGGAGCAGAGTGACATCTCTTCAGGTGGGAATTTTGGGAGCAACAGTGGCACTGGCAGGCATTGGAATTATGGTTTACTTGAAAAGATCCAGGATGTGACTCAACTGAAGTTTAAAACAAGCTCCTTCTTAAGTCTAGCAATGACAGAACATGACAGGACACTACTTGCAAGGCCATAGATCATAGAGATGCATGATGCATCAACCTAAAAAGATGGTTCCATCATAATTTGATGCCACATTGTATACACTCAGTCATCTGCCATGGGCCAATACTAGAATCCATGGGGATGCTATGGATCAAATGCATGAAATAAGAACATGCTTCCTACTAGAAATATTTGCAGTTTCCTGCAACTTTATTATTTATTTCTTTTTTGGATGCCAAAATCAAGCATGTTGTAAATGCTTCATGTATCTATTTTATCATCTTCTACATCAGAGTTTCGGTCTCCGCTTTAATATTTTTTAGTACTCCGAATAGTGTCTCTATGTATAATAGACAACTCCAGAAGCATTAAAATCATATGCCACTTTACAATCGACACCAGTTGTGTATGGACAATGTGGAAATTGTAAGTGCTATTATCTCACTGTTCAATGGCTTGTTTTGTTTCCTTTGTCTTGCCGCATCTGATGCAGTTCTTTGTCAGTATTTTTTTTGGCATTTGACAGTTCTATGCCACTTTACAATCGACACCAGTTGTGTATGGACAATGTGGAAATTGTAAGTGCTATTATCTCACTGTTCAATGGCTTGTTTTGTTTCCTTTGTCTTGCCGCATCTGATGCAGTTCTTTGTCAGTATTTTTTTTGGCATTTGACAGTTCTTTGCTAATGTTGCAGAACAGTTCCTGCCCCCAATTCATGGCCTAGATTGGTGACTTCCTGCCTGTTTATTGATAACTACTTCAAGTATTCATGACCAAACAAAGTGGACTTATATTTTCATACTTCATTGGCACTCTGTTGGATTTGCAGGAATTTAAGCAGCATCGAAATTATGAATTTCATTTGATGCATCTTTCTAGCAGGAGTATTGATAGATGCTCAAGGAGATGCTCATGAAGTGGGAAAAGGTATATGAAACTGAATTCAATGAATAAATGGAGGTATGAAACTTGATTGCTTGAGTTTAGGAACTTGTTATAACGTAAGCTAGTTACGAAACAAAGTTGTTTTGCTTTCAAGAACTGTGCATTTTGACTTTTGATTTCAATTAGTTGTGCAGTAGTTAAAGAACTCCAACCTTAGCCCATGCAATAATGTTTGTGTGTCTGTCTCTTTCTCTCATTATGTTGATTTGAAGCCAATAATTGGCTCACATGAATCTATGAACTGTAAAAGGTGTCATACTTTATCTCCACATCAATCAAGGTCCTCATTGTAAGCTCACTGGCTAACATGTCTAGTGCAAGGACATAAAGCTAAGTGTCCTTCCCTTGTGGGTGACCCCTAATGCCATGGAAACTACAGAGACAGGGAAGTCTGAACCGGTGAAAGATCAGTGTCCAAGGCCTCTGCTGGGGGCTATCTATTGGCCTGGTGGTCCTCTGGCACCTACTTTGTTGTGTATAAAATTTGCCGTCCTTACATTGATCTCTCTCAACCATGAGTTAAATTGTCTTGCAATTCTCATCTTCCTTCACGTTTGCTTGGACATACAGTATATATAGGCAGCAAAGTAGTTAAATGTTTGAAAGATGTCTATAGATCATTGTTCAGCAATTTTATCTAAGCTTGGAATAGTTAAATTTCCAGAGTCTTGTAACATCTTTGTTTCCTTTACCAAACTTTGCTCCTCTCCACCTCATTTATAGCTGCACTTTGAAATATGTCATGCATATGTTTAAGTTCTCTCAGGGCCTTTTAGCACACACCTACATTGCAATCATGCTCACAAAGCTGCAGGGAGATTGATGATTCCATGAGGAAGATGTGCATTCTAAGCTTAAGGTTTACCCTTGTGAAGTGAGTGGTGGGTGCAGAAGGGAAAGGGATGCCTGAACCACCAACTAGATTAGATGCATTCCAAGAATACTATAGAGAACAGTGAGGTCCAAGCAAAGAACACATCCATTGGTCTTGAAGCTTTGTGCTGCCAACAAGATGAGGTGGGTGGAATAACATATCTCACCCAATGAAAGAGGTGAGTTGAGGAACTTGGAAGGTGGAGTTGGTAAATCAAGAAACAGCTTACAGACTTCCAACTTTGCTGTCTTAGAATGATCTGAAGAGACTTAAGACCCTTGAGATTTATCATACAAGCACAGGCAATCTTGGCAAAGAACACTTCTCTTTGTCTGCCATTGTAGTAGTCATCAAGCTGGAATCAAAATTGCATCCAAAACATATCTATGTAGATAATAATTTCAGTTATTTTTTCATGTTTCATGATTTTTATTTTAGATATCCTAGATCTTATTCCCTCCCCTCTATTCACAGTGATTTATTATTAATCATATACATCAGATTCCAAAAGATAAAACATCAATTTTATGGTTCTTCTCTTTGTCTTTGTCTTGTTAAGTTCTGGAATTAAATCCTATGATAAGCATTGATAAAGTACTGTCCTCCATCAATACACAAAGTGAATTTAAATGCAATGTTATTGATATATGCATTAACAAAATAAATTAACCAATAGATATTAAAAAATTATCTTAGGTGAATTACACAAGGGATGATGATATCAAGGTAGGGTTCATTCATACTGTCCTTCCTACCTCCTCCCTTAAATATCTTACCTATATAACTTGCACTAGTAAATGTGATCTTACAATTAGAGGAGGGTAAGGATGAGATAGTGTTTAGGGTTTAGGATTTAGGACTTATAGAAATCTTAATCTTTCAAAGTAATTCATATATTATTAATGCATATTAAAAAAGAGTCCTTGAATAGATTAGCACATAGATGTTTGAACTTAAGGCTATATATAATATGTTCCTCAAGTGATACTCAAATGTTGATGAGTTTGATCCTAAAATGTCATTGTCTTCATTCTCAACATGAAAAATTAGCTCCAAAAGAAACAAAACATTATGTGATCCATAAGCTGAGGCTTTGTTAACCACAATAACCATCTGACAGGTACTCCCCTTCACTCTATCCACAATTAATAGCAGTACAACAGTTATACTACATGATCAAGCATAGTCAAACAATCCCTGTTAAGAAAAGTAGAGCATGGCAGGAGAGTAGTCAGCCTCTCCTTCAGCACTAAATCAACCAATATAAAGACAGATGAAGAGATCAAGAGAGCAGCAAACCATGAAAAGCAAGAGTTTTAGACGGAAAACCTCTCTCTCTCTCTCTCTCATGTGAAGCCGATACTTAGAACGGCAGAAGGAGAAAGCTCTCGGAGAGGAACAAGAAGCAGTGTGCAACTCCTGCGGCTGAGTGCCGGATGAGGCCGAGAGTCCCAGTGGAACAGGAAAAATAAAGCTGCATAGTGTCCCCCAGGAGGCGACTTTTATGCTCCCTCTCACATGCCTTGCCTCAGAGAAGGGTGAGTTTAGGAGCTTAATCTAATCGCGGCGAAGAGTTTGCATGTGTAAATGATCGGAAATTTAAGGAATAATCGGAGCGCCGGTTTCGTGTCCTCTGACATTCCTTTCGTCCCGTACGAATGACGACTTCGCGAGCGTCTTTATGTCTCCAAGGAGAACTTGGATATGTTCCCTCTCGAGTATGATTGATGTGAGTATATTGGTTGAGAAGATGAAATTTTGTGATGATAGACAGGTTCTTCAGGCTTGATTACTACCTCTCTTGTTCTTTGTCGATTTGGTCTTTAGTTGCTTTTGCTTTTATTGTGATTCTGTTCCTTCTAGGGAAGATTGAATCTTGAATAGTTTTGACGCTTCTTGTCGAGCCTTTTTGTCATCGTTACGAAGAAACTTGCAGTTTTGTCGGTGTTTTGGTTGAAGGACGGGTTAACATTTGGTTCTTCTTGGCTGCATTTGCTATTTATTGCGTTTCCCATCTGATTTAGGTTTGATTCTAATCAGTGGAGGAATAAAGGCTTTTTTTTATTTTGATAAGCGATTCTATGATTCTAATCAGTGAAGTAAATTTTCGGGGTTTTGAGCTACTGCTGAACGGGGGAAGTAGTGATCAGATACGATAGCAAAGTGTTGTGATTCATTTGACGGTTGACATTGTGGAATGGACCATCGGGGTTGGCTTTTGAGACGCAAATCATCAGAGAAGAGCCCGGACGAGACTGAGAGTCCAGGATCAGCTTCCTCTCATTCTGAAAATTACTCTGATGACCAGGTTAGCATGTTGCCCTCTTTCCATTTATTCCAAGATAATTCTTCAGTTTTGAACTCTGTAGATGATCAAAGGTGCTCGTAGTTTCAAATCTGCTTTTCCAACAGGAAGAAATAGAGCATTTTATGAAGAAGAAGAAGAAGAAGAAGACTGCTTGTCATTGAAAATGTTTACTGCTAACAAAATTATTTAGCTTTTGATATTTAAAAAACAAATTACTTCTTTTACAGTTCAGTCGGAGCTTGAGAAGGAGATTATTGAAATATTGATGAATTGCTAAGTGTTTGAGCATAAATTTCTTGTAAATGTACCACACCTAAAACAATTCATGAAAATATTTAATGCTTCTTCCTTCATGACTTGATCCACAAAACAAAGGTTAGATTATGTTTCTTGACCAGTGAATAGATAGCTGATTCCCTGATTAATCAAATTATAGATTTGAACTATGTCAGGGTGCGAGACTACATTGTCTTGAATTTTATTTTGCATTATCATGATCTTTTCATAACAAGGTTGCATGTTTTATATGCACATACTTGGTGATGTATTGCATTCTTGGCATTTGTCTTATAGCGGACTGTTATGTTGTCATGGGGTATCTTAGATATGTGAGCTATCCAGACAAGCCAAGAAATTCCTATTATATGACATACTACCCTCAAATGCCAATTGGGAAGAAGATGATTCTATCATCTATGTACACTTATGTGACCTCCTTGTTCTCTCCAGGAGGCATGACCCTGGCAGTCCTAGTCTCCTTGGTGTGGGATGATGTTCCTATATGCATCAGAGGAGATGGAGGATGAGATTTTTGAAAATCAACATTATTCAACTTGAGTGGACATGTAGCATCCTGAAAATCAATATGACTTGTCATGTTGGGATTCAGCTGGAACAAAATTGATACTTGCAGGACATTAGTAAATGAAGTGTTGAACCACTAATTACTTTCCATATGTACTTGAGCCACCAATTTGTCTTGTCCTTTTTCTATTTTTTTTTTCTGAGATATTTCATTGCTTAATGTTATTTTGCCAAATGTTTCAAAACATTTAAATAAAGAATAAAATAAAGTGAATATTTTGTAAAAGAACATTTTCAAGTGACAAGAAGACAAGTGCATGTGCATTAGCAATTGTATGTTCGGTTCTAGTGCTAACTAGTGGAGAGGAAAGTGCCACGCTGATCAAATGGAGATTTGACATGGATTTTACCTTTAGTAAGAAGAATATGTAGATATCGATGTCTTACCTCACAGCATGCAAGTTATATTGTTATGAAAGAAATGTGATTTATTCCTATTGGGGTAGGTGGGTGATGTTGGATATACTCTAATATGGGATGAAATTTTATCTTAATAGGAAATCTTGCCTTATCAGACTAGAACACCTATTATCTTGGAACTTATCCGCCTTCTATATAGAGGGTTAGGTGATTGATTTGAGATAACTAGAGCACTTCTTTTCCTATTCTTGATCTCTCCATAATCTGTCCATTTACATATGGGAGCTGAGGGGTGGCATTGTGTTTAGCATCTTGTGATAATATTCATCATGCATGAGGTTGTTTTATTTTCTGGTGTTCAGTGCTGCTTGCCTTTATCTGTTTTCCCTCAAAGATGTAGACCATAATAGGGCATGTTGGAAGTTCCTAGGCCACTGCCTATTGTGATAGTCCTAGGTTTCCAATGGCACACCATCATAGAGCTGCATATGTTGGTCAAATTAGGTCGAAAAGGTGAGTTTTTTCTTCATTACCTATGTAAATATATGTACATTTTCCACTGACCAGATTAATTGACATGTGCACAAGTGCTTCTCAAAGAAACTGATGAGTGATGTATAATTATGATTTACTGTACTCTGTTATAAGATGTATAAGCTTCAAAGCAATAATTAGCCCTATTGGTTTTTAAATCAGGAAGCACTGAGGTCTTCTCCAAATGATGCTTCAGTTGACCATGCCCAATCGTCAGAAGTTTCATCCAGTACTTATGATGGTGAAGTTAATCAAACTGTTAAGATATTGACTGAGAAATTATCAGCTGCTCTTCTGAACATCAGTGCTAAAGAGGATCTTGTCAATCAGCATGCTAAAGTTGCAGAAGATGCTGTTTCGGGTAATTGGTCTCATATGTAGCAATCCCTTGTTAGCGTAATTCTAAGAGCTAGTGTTACAGCTACCATAAGGTTAAGAGAAATGATGTTTTGAACATATATGTATTATGCTTCCTTAAACGAATACCACGTGGTGCAGTTAATACTGATGGATCAAACTGCTCTTATGGTACAATGGACCAATTTTTATTATTTTTCTTTTTTTAGAATTTTACTGAATATACACATCTTATGCAAGTTATACTACAGACAGTACTTTTAGGGATTTGAGTAACATGGGGAGAACATCTAATTAACCTGTTCGCTAGCGCAATTCTTTTAGCCATCTCACAGATGATAAAAGTTAATAGCTTGCAATTTGCCAATTAAAATACAGCTTGTTTACTTCTTATTTTTCACATTGATTTGTAGTTTTTACTCTGAAATTTGATAGGCTGGGAACAGGCAGAATCTGAGGTTGCAGTCGTAAAGCATCATCTTGAAATTGCACTCCAGAATTACTCTGCCCTTGAAGAAAAAAATAGCCAACTTGTCGAGGCCCTCAAGGAATGTGTCAAACAGCTCCATCAATTGAAGGAGGATAGAGAGGAGAAGACATGTGAGTGGGAATCTGAGAAGCATGAGCTTGAAAAACAACTCGTGGAACTCAAAGCACAGCTTCAAGCTGGAAAGACTGATCGTGTAATACTTGATCGTGGACTTCAGACTAGAGTTGAAGCTGTTGAGAAAGAAAATACAGCTCTGAAGATTGAGCTCCACTCTCATTCTGAAGATCTCCAGGTTTTGTTGCTAGAGAGGGAGCTAAGCAACAAAGCAGCAGAAACAGCTAGCAAGCAACACTTAGAGAGCATAAAGAAAGTCACTAAACTTGAAGCTGAATGTCATCGATTGCAGAGTATAAACCGTAGGTTGTCATCAGTAAGCGATCACAAGCCGGTTGTGAGCTCAGTTTGTGTGGGATCTTCCCCTGACAGTCAAGCAGATAGTGGAGAACGTTTGTTTGGTATAGATAGTGAAACGAGCTGCGCAGATTCATGGGCATCTTCTTTAATTGCAGAACTTGATCAGTTCAAGAGTGAGAAAGCAAGATCAAGAAACCTCAACACATCTGTAGAGATTGAGCTTATGGATGATTTCCTTGAGATGGAGAGACTCGTTGCTTTGCCCGAGATCGATCATGAAAATGTTGCCTTTAAGCCAGAAACTCAGTATGACCAAGTTGTTAGAAGAGTCAGCCCCCTAAAAATAAAAAATGAAATTATGAATAAAAAAATAGTTGAATTAGAAGAAAAAGTTGAGTGGCTGGAACATGAGAAAGGAGAATTGGAGATAGCTTTGTCCCAATCACATACTGAGAGATCTTGCAATCTGCTGGCAGCAGCTGAAAATAAAATAGTTGAACTGCAAACAAAGATAGATTTGTCAACAAGTGAAGTCATGGATTTGGAGGGAAAGCGGAAGGAACTGGAGACTGAGTTAGAGTCTGCATACTCAGAAAATGGAAAGCTCTGCGAGAAGGTATCCTTCTTTCAAGAAAGTTTTGAGGCTGAGAGATTATCGTCTGCTGAATTTAAAGCTAGGATAGAGATTGCTGAGGCTGCTAGACAGGCACTGGACTCTCAGCTCAAGTCAGCTCAGCTAGAAATCAGTAATCTAAAAGAGACAGTTGGACTAATAGAATGCCAGGTCATGGAGGGTAGAGCATTTTCTTCAACATTGACAGCCAAAAAAGAGGCTTTGGAGGCAAAAGGAAAGGCAATGGCATCTCAGCTTGAGCATGCAAATTCAGAAGTTTGGAGACTACAGGAGAAGGTTGACTTCTGGGAACTGAAAGCTGAGGAGAAGACAAAATTAGCTGCTGAATTTGCCATTCAAGTAGAAGCCGCCGAGGCAGCAAGAAAGAAACTGGAGGTTGATCTCAAGTCAGCACATGAGTTTGCCACCAAAGTGGATGCTGCAGACGCAGCAAAAAAAACACTGGAAATCCAACTTGCATCAGCACGTATGGACGTCGTGAAGCTGAGTGGCAATGTGGTCTTGTTGAAAGGAAAAATTGAAGAGGAAAGAGCATCGTCTGCAGAATTTGCAGCCAGGTGTCATAAATTGGAGGGTGATTTGTTGAGGATGAAACGAGAAGCTGATTTATGGAGAGTTGCAAAGTCCAACCGGGAAATTAAAATAAAGCAGGTGAACCTTCTCTTATTTTTTGGTTTTCCTTTTCCCGGTACTCCTTATCAACGTGACGATTCATTTGGTGCTTTGACTCTCTTGATACTATGGTGGCTCAACCTGAATCTACGATCCACTTTTAATAGCATAGCAGAGATCATCGATTTCTTGAGCCAACTAACATCTGCTACGATAATTTAGTAGTTAAATACTGCTTCATATCACTGTTTCACTTCTTGTTTTAAAGCAAATGTCACTTGTTGTCGATAGTTAAAGTTTGACCTCATACCTAGTTGACTTTAATATGTTGTATGTGAAGCAGGAGAAAGAACTTGCCATGGCTGCTGGGAAATTGGAAGAATGCCAGAAGACGATCGCTTCCCTGAGCCGACAGTTGAAATCATTGACAACTTTGGATGACTTCATGATTGGAGACGAGAGGCCAGAACATAACATATTCTTGCAACATCCTAGTGGTGACGAAGCCAAAGATTTAGAGATAATAGGCAGCTGTACTGTCTCCAATGGCAGAGAAAGGAGTTCCCGTCAGTCTTCGGCACTCTCTTTTTTCTCTTCTTCGTCCTCAAATTTCTCTGGGTTCATGAGAACATTATCTCGTAGTAGGAGCATCACTCGCTAGAACTACTAGAAAATAGTATCTTGGAACTTTAGATAATTTTGTTGTTCGATACATCAAAAGAATGATTGTTTTTTGGGGCTCGTGGTTACTGGATTTTTTTTTTCTTCTGATTCAATCGGCAATTAATGGGTTCTTTCTTTTACTTGAACACACAGGTTTACCAGCGGACATTGTATTTGGAGAGTTTATGTTAAGACATTATATTTGTGTATTACTTCAGATTTGTTACTGTCATTATATTTGGAGAATTGATGAGTGATCTCTCTTTTCTGGTTCATCAAAACATTGTTTTGGAGCTAATTTATGATCAGTTTAATACTTCGCACAAATACAAATGCTTGTTGCTCATTTGTTATTTGATTATTGATACGGAGAATATCGACAACCATTCATCATCCAACATGTGTTCTTCGTATAGTGTCCAAGCTAAAACCAAAGAGACGAAAACTACTCTCTAATCAGTCTACCCATGTGGATATGGTCCAAATAGTTAGAGATTATCTCCAATATTGTCGCCTACATCTACAAAAGGTTAAGTGAAGATTGTTAGAGATGGTTGAAGATTACCTTTCCATAGAATATTTTATAATTTTACGATTAGGTATAAAAATTAAGTACTAGGATCACTTTTTATTATTCATAATTATGCTTATTTAACTCGAGTAATTAATTTGAGCGTTGAAGGGATCGAGTTGAAAAATCTCTTTCGACCGTAATCTTAGTATAGGAGGCATGTCAGGAGCTCGACATCCAGAAAGTCTTTCCATAACCATTATTGATTTCTATTATAGGAGAATATGCTAATTAACCCTACCAACATGATTAACTAATCATGTTGTGTAAGAACTTGAACTGAATCTATGGCCCAATTTGAGAGTCTCCAATCTGGGCTGAGCCCAATTCACTGTCGCATCCAACATCGATATGGCCTCCTTCTTCACGCCATTACAGCAGGTCAATCACAGAGAACCTCGTCACCTCCGCCCTTGACCCTTACTTGCCTCCAGTACTTTTGAACCGTCAGGATCACGTACATTTCTGGGCCCACCTGAACCGAGTGATCTGAACCGTTCAAACTTCAACGGAGTCGTCCCATAGCGGGTGGCATGCCCTTCGCATCGCCCATTTAATCCGCCAATTCCAATGACCCTTCTCACCTTGTTTCCTCCGTCCCTCCCCGCTTCTCTTTTCTGCTCGACTCCACTGGCTCGCTCACTTGCTCTCCGATGGAAGCTTCGGTTATGGCGAGATTCCACTTGCACTCGCAGCCCCTATTCTCGTCCTCCCCGGCGCTTAGCGCGAGGAGCGCTCCCCCTTTATCAATCTCAAACCCCAGACCTTCCACCTTGGCACTGGGATTGGATATAAAGAACCGCTTCGTGACACGCTGCTCCGTGGACGGCGCGGTCAAGGTGGAAGCGGAGGTTCCCGTCGAGAAAAGTTGGTTCCTTTCTTGTTATTTTGCTTCGAGATCAGTGATTTACGGTTCTTTTTTCCTTTTTTCGTTGCTTAAAGATCTGGTTTTTATTGGTTATTTTGAAGGCTTTCCGCCGTTTCCGACTGTCATGGACATCGACCAGATCCGCAACATTCTGCCACATCGGTGAGAATATTCTGCCTCTCGGGTTCTGGTTTGTATTATTGATCTACGTAGGTTTTCTGGGGATTGAACTAACTGCGGGGATTTTAGGTTTCCGTTCTTATTGGTCGATAGAGTGATCGAATACACGCCTGGAGTTACAGCTGTTGGTATCAAGAACGTTACCATTAATGATAACTTCTTCCCTGGACATTTCCCTGAGCGTCCGATAATGCCAGGGGTTCTCATGATTGAGGTATCTACTTAATCTCAACAATGCAGTTTCCCTTTTTCCCCTTCTAGTTTATAATTGCTGCGAACAAGATGCAGGGAATTTTTTTTTTATCGAAGGATTTGATAGATATTCTCATGTCACATTTTCTTACAGTAAAACCTAGGGGACTGAAAAGATCAGCTGAATAGCACTTAACTGGAGATTTTTCGATGGTAAAGATGGTGAAGCCGTGAAAGCATGATCCTCCATTGGATGAAATCATTTCTTTCTGATGATGCATATTGTGTGTTTTTCATTGATGAGTTGATATTTTGTTGCTTCCATATTGCAATTTGATAAGACAATATGAGACTACTACTCAATTAAGCATTATTTCTCTCTTTGTCCAAGAACTGAGTGTGTCTATCATGTCAGGTCATGATAATCGTTTTTGGAGCTTTCTGTATAACATTCTGTCATCCATATATTACAGGAAAAAGAGAGCATTTTCTTGAGACTCTAGTGCTTTTAAACTATAATAGTAGCCATGCTAAAGTAACTGAAAGCTACATCTGTTCATGATTAAGATGAAAATTTTATTTCTAATTTCAATCTACTCAACCAGATTATGGTTGTTCCTATAAAATTTGAAATCTCAGCTACATGTTCAAAAGATTTTGTGAGCATTCTTGATTTTGGAGACTCTTGCAGATGAATCTTACAGTAGAAGCCAAACAAGTCGTCACACTTGCAACTTTGCAAAGTATATAGGATGATCTCAGATTTTTTTTGAATCCATACTCTCGATATCAGTGTCAAAAAAATCTGGGCCCAAATTTTATGGGTAGATGACACAAGGAATGGATATGTGCTTGTCATCCACTTGTTGAGGCAAATGAAGCAGAGTAAGCCATAATATATAATACTCAATGAATTGTGCATAGGTGCCATTTTGTTTGCCATTAGCATCAGAAATGGTTTCAAAATTAGAAATCTGTTAGAATAAGAATTGGAATGGCCGTATCTCTTACATGTTTGGGCATGTGTTCTAAAATTGGAATTGGAATAGCCACGGCCATTTAAGTCTGAAAAGAGTAAATTTTTCTCAAGTCATATGTACCTTTTTACCAGATCTCTTCTTTTCTATTCCTGTATTATCTTCGATAGTTTGAGAATAGTTTGCAGTAAAATTACTCCTGTTTGTTGCAGCAACTCTAGCAATAGCCTAACATTCATAGGAGACCTAATACATGGAAAGCACCAAACAAGTTGCACTAGGGGCCATGAATCTAGGGCCTATGCTAGCTTATATGTTTTCAGCTTAAACCTAGGTAATACTAAAGTCTCCTGTTTGGTATATATTTTCTTAAAACTTCTTGGTACCTTTATGAAGATCTTTATCATAATGTTATCAGCTATTTAGATTAATATTTGGACCATTTGTAGAGTTTTTTAGTTGTTTTAAGTTTACAATCAATAGTTGTAAGTAGCTCAAGTTGGAGTAACAAACAATCAAATTCCCCATAGGGCAATGCTATATTTAGGGTTGGGTTTCACCTTCTCTCCTAGTCCTCAGATCAACCCCCAAACTCAATTTTTCCATCCTTGAGCTGATTGGGTATGGGAAATCCCTGCTATTCTCCACCAGACAAGGTTAGAGGGACAAAGGGGGATGATCTTGGCGATGCACTTGTAGATTATCATAGCTGTTCAGAGAGGGAGAGGAATAGAGATGGAGGAGCTTGGCAATGCTCTTTATGCCCTTCTGGTGATGTATAGTAGACCATCATACAGATATTCACAGGAGTGCCAACCTTGCGTTGCAGTCACTCTTGGATGAGCCACAAACATTGAAGTGAAAGGAGCAATAAGAGGGTTAGATTTCTAATTCATTCCTGGTTGATGAAGGTCTGTTGGATATGTCCACGGAAATATAAGTTTATCACCCTTCACAGCCTTCCTTTTTCTCCATGGGACAAATCCACCATGTTGTAAGGGAGGGAGGGAGACTAGGAGAACGGGGAAAGAGAGAGAGCATGGAGGAGATATATTATATCAAGATTTGAGATAGGGAGAAATAGCAGGTTTCTTTAAGAGAGGGTATTAGTGAAGATCAATCTGGATTTTTAAGTGGGATGGGACCGAGGTGGATTTAAATAGGGTCACATCTATTTCAACCAATTCTTACCCTAGTCAAAACAAAGTTTGGGTTTTTTTTATCAGCGTAGCCCAAACCCTGACAAGTTAGGGAAACACACCCAAATCATAATACCACAAGATATCCAGACATGAGATCTCTTTATTGCATAATAGCTTTCATGTAGCGGTAACTTTTTTAATAATAATGTCAGCATAATGTGGTTATTTGTAAATATGCTATAAACCGGATTGTTCAAATTTTGTTTTCCATGAACTAAATTATCTTTCTAGTTTCTTGTTGCTGTGTGCTTAAAGACTTCAGTTTGAGTTGTCGGTTGCATAACCTATTTTACTTGCTTTTAATAACATTAGTCTAAAATCTTATGATATGTAATTCAATTTCTCAATTTTTTGCTGTCATACTTCTTTTTTAACTTCGAAGTTTGTAATAGAAAAAAAAAAGACCCATTGCTTTAGCTTTTTCTTGTGTAGAGTCTGGGGAGAGTCTTCATACTGCAACTCAGCTTGCTTAGTTTTTAGCACAGCAAAAAAAAAGGGAAACACATGCACCTTTGAGTTTTTTGATAAACCATCACCTAATCTCGGTGGATTAAAGAGACTCAAAAATGTTCAATGAGAACATAGCAATAATTGTGTTTTGTTTCCTAGACAATATCTGCAATATCTATGTCCATGTTGGTGATTAACGATAAGCAGTGATGCTATCATGTAGGCAATGGCCCAGGTCGGAGGCCTACTTATGTTGCAACCGGAAGTTGGTGGTTCTCGGGAAAACTTCTTCTTTGCAGGAATCGACAAAGTGAGATTCCGGAAGCCCGTGATTGCAGGGGACACCTTAATCATGAGAATGACACTGACTAAATTGCAAAAACGTTTCGGAATAGCAAAGATGGAAGGAAAAGCGTATGTGGGCGGGAACCTGGTATGTGAAGGTGAGTTTTTGATGGCTACAGGATCTGCAAGCGAGTGATGGTCTCCTAAGGCCAGCACATCTCTTCCCAAGGAGCTATAGATTGTTTCACTAGAGTGTCAAAATCAAATGTTACTGGGAACTCATGCTAGTGTTCTGAATAATTTGGCTTGCGAGGGAAGAGTACATTACGGCATGATCTTAAACTTGATGTTTACCATATGTGAACATTTTGGCAGAATCTTAAGCTTGTTAATTATTGTATTTGTCTTAAATTACACTTCATATTTTGAGGCTAATAACTTCATATTTTCTAGGTCATTGTATTTGCATCAACCCTTGCTCGCTCCTCCGTTGTTGATGTCTCTCCTTTTGCTCTCTCTTCCCTTCTCCGTCTTCATCTCTTGCATTGTCATCATGCAGCCCAGACCATGCTATGATCTATACTATGAACAACCGCACCAGCAACAAATCTTTTCGAGGTTGCAAGTGCATCTTAAGAGTAAATCTTTTGTCGTTTGTCTGCAACAATGATCATAATGGGTTCATTCTTTATGTATATGTAAATTTTCATTAATCCCCAGAACATATAATATCAAATATTCTGTAGGGATAATTGTTTCTTGCTATAAATGTTTTATATGTTTCTGTCATAGTCATGTCTCTTTGCATTGTCCAATCCAAGCAATAACTTGATCTTTTACCATGATGTCTATATAATAGGAAAGTTAAACACAATAAATAGGATCATAACTATAAAACTAGCACAGGCCATCAAATAACAGGCTATCATTTTCTATATAGCTAATTAATTATTTCCATGATTAGGAATGAGTTATCCATTTAATTTCCTTTTTTGATCGGAAGATGAACTCACCGGTCTCCTCATCGAAGTGTCTCCGCACCTGCCTTGATTGGTGATATTCCAAATTGATATAATATAAATGATACATAACAAAGTGCTCCCTTTATTCGAGTTAAAAATCAACTTAATTTCGGCATCAATTTTTTTTTCCCAAAATAATAGTCCTTCCACCCATCAATTGACAAGGGCATGAAAAGGCAATGAAATAAATATTAAGCTGTCACATTATATGGAAATAATTGTTTGTATGATCAGGTTTTATTATAGTAATTATGTTGGCATTTCTATTTTAAACGTTTGATATTTCATAGGATGGTTGCCATACTATAATAGATGCAATGTGTCCTACCTTCATAATATACAAAAAAATATATTTATTTATTTTTATCCCTTAGAATGTAAAATTTAAAATAAAAATATTATTTTAAAAAAAACTAAAGTTTTATCAGTTATATATAGTTTTGGGTTTTATATTTATATATATATATATATATATATATATATATATATATATATATATATATATATATATATATATATATATATATAATTTTGCTAAAGAACAACATCTATATAACCCAAAGTTCTCAACTATAGAAGCATCCCATTCTTCCATCTCCGAACGAGAGAGAGAGAGATAGATGCTGATGATGATGATGGTATGTGTTCCTGTAATTTAGCCTACGCCTCCCCTCTGTCTTTGTCCCTTACTCAAGTCTTGGTGTCTACAGGGAAGCTTGAGAGCTCTGCGGCATCTGGTAACGTCGCTTCCGCTGCTGCTGCTGCTGCTGCTACTATGTCTCCTCTCTTCGTTTTCCTCTGCCGCTGAGGTTCGTAGCGACCCCTCTGCTCTTCTTCTCCTTTTCCCAGTCTCTCCTCCTGACCTTATACGTATTTCTTTTCGGTGTCTCCGCAACACGAAGCTTGGTGAGACCTGCTTGTTCAACTCGGACTGCGACCCCGGTCTACATTGCGAGACATGCTTGGCCAACGGCAACTTCCGGCTCAGGTGTACGCGGGTCAAGCCCAAGAGTCCCATAGCGGAGGTCCTTAACTCCCTCCTCATCTCTTCCATGTATGCTCCTCCTTCGCCCACGGAGATGTGAGTTCTTCACCTTGTGATGTGACAGGGCGTCGGGCTGCCGTTTAATAAGTACGCTTGGCTGACGACTCACAACTCGTTCGCCCTACTCGGCGCGCCACCGTTAACCGGAAAGCAAAATGTCGCCGAGAAGAACCAGCAGGACTCCGTCACCGAGCAGCTCGAGGTAAACGCCGTTGCCACTTTCCCTTTTCTACTGCTCCTTGAATTCGCTTCAAACATCGAAATGTAGACACTTCTTTGAGGTACCCAAACTTTATATGCTTCTGCTCAATGAGACGACATTATATGTATATATATTCCAAGACAAACTATTATGAGCTCAAGAAAGCTATGAACTGGTGAAGGAGTCTCAGTGCTCTATGCTGATCTCACCCTGTTTGGCTGTGACGTGATTTCAGCACGGTGTTCGGGGATTGATGCTGGATATGTATGACTATGACTCCGACATCTGGTTGTGCCATTCCTATGAGGGCAAGTGCTTCGACGCCTTGGCTTTCGTGAGTTCCTAATGCCACAGTACTCTATATATGTCTTCCTTCATTTCCTTGGCCTCCTTTTCGCTCATCTTGAGACACACCGCTTGCATGTGCATGCGCAGCAACCTGCCGTCAATGTGCTCGGCGAAATCCGAGACTTTCTTGAAGCGAACCCTTCGGAGATCATAACGATCTTCATCGAAGATTATGTCTCGTCCCCCATGGGTCTTACAAAGGTTTTCAATGCTTCTGGGCTGCTCAAGTACTGGTTCCCGGTCTCAAGCATGCCCAAGAACGGAGAGGACTGGCCTCTGGTCAGCGAGATGATCACCCCAAACCAGCGCCTGGTGGTATTCACCTCCGAAAAAACCAAGGAAGCCTCCGAGGGCATCGCATACCAGTGGAGATACGTGGTAGAGAACCAATGTGAGAAAGCGGAAGCACTGCATGCTCAAGCTTCAACTTCTCAGACCTTCTTCTCTCGACTGCATCCCTGAAGAGTTGTGCTTATGATGTTGCAGATGGAGATGGAGGAATGGAGGACGGCTCATGCCCGAACCGAGCCGAGTCCCTGCCAATGGACACGACGTCAAGATCGCTCGTTCTGATGAACTACTTCCCCTCCATTCCGTACTTTTTCACTGCATGCAAGCACAATTCCGGGCCGCTTGAGAGCATGCTGAATACTTGCTACAGTGCGTCCGCCAATCGCTGGGCTAACTTCATTGCTGTGGACTACTACAGGGTAAGTGCAGCCTGCCATATATGACTCTGGGATCATCTTTTAGTAGTAGCTATCTCGAGGCGATGATTCTGTTCCTCTCTTCCAGAGAAGCGATGGAGGTGGAGCCGCCCAAGTTACAGACCTGGCGAATGATCGCATGCTCTCCAGTTGAAGTATGAGTGAGTTATATGAGAGGAGAAGCTATGTTGAAGGTGATGCATTAGGTTCCCACAGCTTTAATGGTGTCCTTGGAAGGAAGGGTGATGATCCATTTTATGTTCCTATCAATGTGTAATAGATTTCTAAATAAATGATATTATTTTATGGAAATATAGAGTCTCCTAAAGGAGGACTGAAATGTCATTAGAAGGTACATGATGCTTTTAAGACCACTTTCACCTAATATAATTACTTCTATCTAATAAAGAAAAAAAACCTCATGCTCTTGAAGATTTCTAAATTTGGCAAAACTTAATGTAGAGAAATATATGGGCGTTTTATTATCTACGGCGCACGCAAATGCCAATGAAGGGATCATCACCGTCCGCTTGACTCGTGTTTCGTCAAGCGCACCCCCTGCCGTTGGATCGGCCGACATTTGATCAGATCCAATGCAGTGGCTTTCCGAACCTTGGCCGGTCAAATTGACCGCAGTCGGCCCACCAGCTGTCAACACGTGCGGAGGGAGCGCGAACACGGTTACCGATGCATTCCTGCCGGTTTGACCGCGGACATGCCCGGGGCCCAACGCATTCCGGTGGGCCTCCCTTCGCCTTCGCACGCGCACGCCTGCTGCCGCCCGACGATTACGCGACACGTCACCCGTGTTTATTCGTGCGTGCGCGCCTCCCCTCCTCACACGCTCGCGCAAGCCGCGCAACGATGTTACGATTGGCTGAAGCGGCTGTGTCCTGTAACGGGGTCGGATAAGGCGTCGGGGGACGAGTCCGTCCCCCGTTTAATCGGCCGAGTCAATTCCTCTACGGCGTCGTCCTCACGGTTCACACTGGCCACGGGCTCTGCTCACCTGTCGGCTGCCCAGATGTTTGACCGCCCCTCGGTTCCCTACCCCCAGTTCCTTTGACCCCCCCCATCACAGCCGTTCATCACTACGAGTGCGATTCCCGTCCTTCGTTGATGAACGATTGTGATGAACGAAAACTGCCGACATTTCACGTCAGTGTGACCCCATCCCACCGTTTGATGCGACACGTAATTAGGAGACGCACGTGCGGAGGCGAAGCATAAGAGCAGCTCGACCCGCACGCCTCCTCTCACCGTGAAGGACGCCTGCGTAAAGCGAGCAAAAGTTTGCGAGCTCCGCTCGATTCGTCGAGGAGACGTGACAGGAAAGCTTGGAAGGAAGGAGCGGATTGAGATTGGTGATGCCGGGGAGCGTGGCGCCGTTGGATCTAGCGGGAGTGACGATACCGCACCACTTCCGGTGCCCCATCTCGCTGGAGCTGATGCGGGATCCGGTGACGGTGTGCACCGGGCAGACGTACGACCGGGCGAGCATCGAGTCGTGGGTGGCGACGGGGAACATCACCTGCCCCGTCACGCGCACCCGGCTCACCGACTTCACCCTCATCCCCAACCACACCCTCCGCCGCCTCATCCAGGACTGGTGCGTCTCCCACCGCTCCCTCGGCGTCGAGCGCATCCCCACCCCCAAGCAGCCGGCGGACGCTCCCCTCGTCCGCTCGCTCCTTGCCTCCGCCGCTGTCGGTAGCGTCGCCTCGCGGGTCGCCGCGCTCCGCCGGCTCTGCGCCCTCGCGCGGGAGTCCGAAAAGAATCGCGCTGTGATATCCACCCACGAGACCCGCTCGGCGCTCCTCGAGATTGCGTTCGAGGGAGGGGAACAACCAGGGTGCTCGGACGCGGACCAGCCGGCCCTGGAGGCCATGGCGGTGCTGTCCATGCTGCCTTTGTCGGAGGCTGAGAGCGCGGTGGTGGCGACTCGGCCGGAGAGGCTTCACCGACTGGGGGAGATTGTGAAGGGACACCCGTCGTCGGAGGCGCGGATCAACGCCGCGGCGGTGATCGAGTCAGTCGCGACGGGGACGCGGTCAGCGGAGACCAGGGCCACGATCGGGGGTATGGACGGGGTGATGGGGGGGCTGGTGGCATTGGTGGAACAACCGGGTAACCCGCGGGCGGTACGGGTGGGGATTCGAGGGCTCCTTGCGATGTGCCTAGCGAAGGAGAACCGAGCCCGGGCTGTAGCGGCCGGTGCGGCCGCGGCGGTGGTGAGGAGGATGGGCGAGCTGTCGTCGAGCGATTTGGAGCGAGCGCTGGCAACGGTGGAACTGCTGTGCCGTGGGGAAGGGGGAAGGGAGGCGGTGGTAGCGGGGTGGGGGGGCGGGGCGGCCGCGGTGGCGGCGCTAGTGAGGTTGATGGCGTGGAAGGCATCGGGAAGGGCTGCGGAGCACGCAGCGGGGGCGCTGGTGGCGGTTCTGGGGGGTTCGGAGGCACTGCAGAGGGAGGCGGTGGCTGCCGGTGTGGTGGCTCATCTGCTGCTGATGGTGCAAGGCGGGTGCTCCGACCGGGCCAAGAGGAAGGCGCAGCTCCTCCTTAAGCTCCTCCGCCCAGCCTGGCCCTATCGCGACTTCATTGCCAACTCCGACGACTTCATCCAGGCATTCTAAAAGCTCCCACCTTTAGGAAAGCAGCTCCTCTTCTCTATTCTGACCTGCAAACTTCTTCTCTTTCATTAGCAATTACCAAAAAGAAAAATCTAATTGATTTCCTCCTTTTTCTTTTCTTTTCTTCTGTCAAAAGACAATATCCATCTTTATGTTGGATTCTCTCTTAATCAGAGGGTGAATGGTGTGAGATGGCGCGCTGGGATGTCGACTGTGGAGATATATTTTGGTGTGTGCTTGGTTTGTGGTTTGTCCTTTGGATTGGGGAGGGTGGTTTTTCCTATGTAAATATGGATTTTGGGTTGAAATGGATGGACATATGACTTGACTATAATTGCATTTTTTTTGCTATCGCAAAATAATTTCTGCTGATGTTCTTCATGGTCTCTAATTTCTCACTTATTTCTTATTATTGGTTTTGGAAGTTTTAAGTGCAATCAGAGACAATGAAGACAGTGGAGGAAGAACAAAAGCTGCTCTACTTTGCCTGGCTGATACAGAATGGAATGTCATATGAAGCCCAAGATATGAAGAGTGACAAGGGAAGTGTGCTTATCATTGAGTGTCTCATCTTTTTTACTGACTGCAGAGCAAGTTGGGTCTTGGTGATATCGGGTTAACCCTTGAAGGTATGCCCTTTACGCTTGGATAAAGATGATGCACTATGCTGGATTTTGGGTAGCTCTTGTATAAAATATTTGCATGATCATTCAGCTTTTTCATGGTGGTTGTAGGAATTACAATCAGTATCAGAAAAGAGCAGAAAAAGTAGAGTAGGCTACAACAGATTCTTGGGGGTTTTGGACCCACAGTGAGTAGGTTCAACTTCAAAAACACCAGAGTAATTTAAGATATTAATTAGAGAACTTGATTAGAGCAAAAGTTTTGAAAGGAATGGGATCATGGAATAGAATTATGTTGGTGCTTGATGCTTCCTTCCATTGTCTTCTTCCACCATCCTTGAATGCAAAATTGTCTGAGGCATGAAGCCAAAGACCACTGAAGATGGCAAAAGGAGGAAAAGGAAGGGAAGGGGCTCAAGAGACCAAAGAGAAGGAGTGGCATGCTGTAATCTTCTGATCCACAGCTTTGTTGTGGTGGTCATCACATGAAAAAGGATAGGTTGCTCCACTGGGGTCACATGGTTGGAATCCTCTAATGAGTCCAACCCAAGTGGCTGTCACATGAAATGGAGGAGCCTTTGTCCCTTGCTATCCTTTTTCTAGGACATGAAGCTTGTGCAGGTCAAAATATGCATGTCAGGGATGGTCCCAATGATTCACAAAGGGAAGCCATTTGGGTCCCTGGATCCTTTTGTCTGTGGTCCTAAAGGTATGATGGAACCATTGAAGCAAAGTCAAGGATGGACATATCAAAATCTACATTGTTCTAGGATGAAAGTTGGGAAATATTACTGTATCTAATTTGTTCTTTCTCTGACACATAGAAGTTATTGGAACAAAACTTGACCTCTTAGAGATATGTTTTCCCTAAGTGGCTTTATAATAATTATGTTCAAGTATCGCTTCCTATCTCTCTTGTCCTCAAAATGTGTAATGAAGAGCAGAAAGGTGCTTGTGTTACTGAGAGAGAGCTTTTAGGTGAAATTGGAGAAGAGACTTCTTGCTTGTGAAACAAGGTGGTCATTTTGTTTAATTGCATGGCACTATTCACATGTTGGTATCAGGTTTCTTTTGGTACTTGTCCTTGAGCCATACAAAGTGTGGTAATTTAGCTTGGTTACAACTTCAAGTAGAATTCCTTTAGCTAATAGGATGCATGTCATGGTAGAGAAAGTTCTTATAGTTTGATCATGGATTCATTGTGTGTTGTTAACCCTATTTCAGTGCAATAAAATGCAATATATATATAATACCCAATGTGAAGTTCTGTGTTACTCCATTTCTTGTTCTTACACTCTTGTTTTGTGTCTTGCAACTTTGGTATTGCAGGTTATTTTGTCTGTGAGATTAGTTTTGCCCAGGAGCTCTCAACAACAGCAGAAGATGCACTCATGTTTTAGTTTATTTGAATGAGGGGGACACAGTTTGTTTTAGTAGCCTGATGAACAATTTTGCTATTGACATAATTATCGATCCATAATCATACCTTCTGTGATCAATTCTTAAGGTTATACAAAACTCAGGACTAAGTTTTCTTATATTCACAATTTTCCATTTAGCAAGTAATTAGCTTTAGACATTTGTAGTTCTCTTCATGGACATTAAATATCTGTGTGTGTGTGTGTGTGTGTGAAGCAAATATGATCACATATTCATCACCTTCTTCTTTTTTTGTATTGTATTCACACATGCTATATTCTTTTTTTTTGTAAATAGAGTCAAAATAGCTACATAGAAATCACAGTGATGTTTATATTCAAAATTCGCTATTAAAAATCTTATGAACCGAAAAACAAATGTTGTTGATATGTTACTATTCATTATTGTTCTTGCATGCAAAAAAAAGTTTGGAGCAATTTAATTGACTTGCCCTCTGTATCTAAATAATTGCTTAAAATGATAAATCCATCCATGCATTCATACACAGGAGAATTATTGTTTGATATGATTTTCTTTATATTAATAATATTTATTGTTTTGCTCTACTCCACATTTATTTCACTTTGTTTGTCATACATATAATCCACAACATTTTGCTTGTAAAACAATATCTGCATCTTGTACCTAAATTACAAGGTAGATTATTGTTTTCTTCAGATGGGCATAAATGATTTAGCAAACAAAATCTATATGCCACAGAAGTCTGTCAAAATCATTACAAATTTTGTGTGTTCATAGTTTGACTTGAATAATAGATCAACAGAAGCACTCCAAGGATGGTCCCAATGACTCACAAAGTTGAGTCACTTGGGTCCATGGATCATTTTCCTTGTTTGTGGTCCTAAGCTGAGATGATGATATCAAATACTACAATATATCTAGCTTGTTTGCTTTGATAAAGAAATGGTGGACAATCAAATCTTTCTCCGTAGGAACTCGACAAGACCACTTCCATACTCGTGTCAATTCGAAGTCTAGCATAAAGATTGAAATAAAAGTTTGAATGATACATGCGCGACTTCAATCCATATGCTGGATTTGGATGCTTGACTTATAACTTGATAAGATAAGATAAGATGTATTAATGATGATGATTGGGTACTAATTAAATATTTAAATATTAATATTTATGCATATTCAAATCTTGGATATTGATTTTGATAAAAATAAATATTTAAGATTTTATTTTTAATCCTCCCTCCTCTCATCGCAAAGCTGTAGTATTTTACATACGTTATGAGAAGGTAACACCTTCAAGAGTTAATTTCAGCTCAATATGATAACACTAGATGAATTAGAGATCATATTCTCTATTTGATTAATAAAATTATTATCATCAACACCTTAGGCATGAATGTTAATAAATTATTCGTTATGTAATTTATTCTTAATTCATTTTCTTTGCAATTTAGGTCATTCAAGATCCACTATAATACAAATAAAAATCGATGAAACTTGAATGAATTAATCAATATACGTGTGCGAAGAAATTCATATTAAAATAAAAAAAGGCTCATGATATTTTTATTGTTTCTCGAGGACTTAGTAACATAAAAAGAAGATAAAGTGTTATCTAGCTAAGAAGCTTATTGGGTCGAGAAGTTTTGCTCGGTATTTAGAAAATAAAGTCTGACATATGAAGAAGGATTGCACTAAATGTAAGGGTTGGTTCAAAGAATAAGATTGAACGTTAAGTTTGTATGTTTTGAATCAAATATTATTGAATTTTCTTCTAATACTTAATGAATAGATTTGGGTGTTTTAACTCATATTACTAATAATATGTAATGATTCCTTGTAACTCAGAAGTTAAAAAAATTTATTATTATAAGGAATCATCTCAAAATGAAGGTGATAGTAGTGACAACTTATAGCTTGATGGATCTTGAAGAAGTTTTTTATGTTTCTTTAATTTCTAAAATTTTAGATTTTATTTTTAAATTAGATGAATTGAGATATATTCTTTCTTTTAGTTCTTAAAAACTTAACATATTTTATAATTCAATAAAATTTGGTTCTAAAATTTTATATGATAGCTTATATAGAATCAATTTGAATCCTAAATTTAAGAAAACTTTAACAACCTTACAATTGAATGTTGAATAAAGCATAGTTCTATTAATTAAAGGTTCTCGATACTGTGGTATAGATATTTAGGATATATCTCCGAAAAAATGAATGAGAGATTAATAAAGGATAGAAATTTAAAAAATCTAGACTTTATTAATTTTGATATGAATAGATTAAATTAAAGAAAAGCAAACCCAACATATCAAGAAAAATACCATAAGAAATAAAGAACTCCTTGATATACATATTAATATTTGTATACTACTCCATATTTCATGTTTTAGTGGAGAATGATATTTTATTAAAAAGTCTCAAGCTGTTAATATCTTTGAGGTGTACACGTGAAGTGTTTGTCTTGTATCTTTTTTGGTTTATGAGTTAAAATGGAAGAATGTTAATTATATACAGTTTATAATTTAATTAGTAAGATATATTAAAGATAATAATTATATTTTAATTAAAACATGAACATCGATATTTATATACATCCAGATCTTAAATATTGATCTTGATCAAAGAAAATATCTAAGATTTCTTTTCTAGGCTAGTCTTAGAAGCGTAATCGGCACTCAAGCTGGTTCGGAACTTAGCCAGAAGGTGGAAGAACAGTTTCGAGACTCAAAAATCTTGAAATAAGATATCTTTTCCGATGAAGATTTAACTGCGGCCCTGATTCAGTCCCTGCCATCAAAGTTTTCTTCTTCAACATCTCGCTAAATCTCTCTCCACCCCACACGGGAAGACGTCTGATCGAAGAAGATGACTCACCCATCACACGTTTGTTCATGGCGGAAGAAGAGGACTTGGAATGTGCCTCCAAAGATTAGACGCAGTCATTTTAGCTCAATCGTTCAAGGCGACGGAAGCAATGATGTGCCTCCTTGACCGGACCTCATTAATTCATTCTATAAGGAAATTAATGATTTCAAAATTGAGAACCGATTATAAGAAACACTTAATAATTTCAAAAAGAGTTTACTGGATAACCTCAACAAATTTCAACAAAATGAAGATTCAAATTCTACGTAACATAGATCTAAAAATACAGGAAAAAGACCCCAAGATTATGACACAAAAGAGTCTCAAATGTGGTCCCCTTGTCACGTCACGTTATGCAGAATGACAATAAACTGTGAGACACACGAATGATCTAAATTATTGCACATCCATGTTAATCCAGCCTTTCAGATAGATAAGTTTT